TTCCTTCCTTCCTTCCTTCCTTCCTTCCTTCCTTCCTTCCTTCCTTCCTTCCTTCCTTCCTTCCTTCCTTCCTTCCTTCCTTCCTTCCTTCCTTCCTTCCTTCCTTCCTTCCTTCCTTCCTTCCTTCCTTCCTTCCTTCCTTCCTTCCTTTCTTTCTTTTCTCTCCTTTCTTCCCTTCTTTCGTTTTGAATGAAGCTCAAAACTATTGACAAAACTGTTGTCAGCTTGCAACTATTGCCACAAGTTCCCAGCAAGCAGTATCTTCTTTGGGGGCCATCTGAAAGAAAAAACAGCAGATAAAACTATATACACATGGCTTGAATTTGTCTTCAACAGATTGGTTGGAGATCACTGTATGCTATTGGAAGTGAGCATGTTGGAAAAATGGAGGCAATAAGAATGGAAGTGATGAAAGGGCTATAATGCAGGCAGCATTCCTCCTCCCCTTATGACACTGAAGGATTGAATACACCAAAGGTGAGGATGTGGAAAAAGAAAAGAGAATAGAAGGTTGGAAACAGTGCAGGTGGAGATAATAGAAATCTAGGATTGGTGGAAAAAGTCAGAAAATGAAGGAAAGGAGAAGCAGTCTGTAGAAAACAACTCGAGAGGAAGTTACAAAAGTGTTGCAATAGTTGCTCCAGGCACAGTGCAGAAATGGAAAAGAAGGTGAAAGGAATAGTAGAGAAGAATGAACACAGGCCTGTCGCCTGCCCGGTGCTATCCTGCATTAGGCACTCCCTTTTCAGGAGCAATACTAATAGCAAAGTGCATTGCAGCACAACAGCTGGTCCTTGAGAGGGGAAAGGGGGGGCAAACTGCCCATGGGCAGGGATGTCTGGAGTGACAGTGGGCTGGAGGGATGAAGAGGAGGGCAGTGAGGGGCTAGGGAAACCTTCTCTGGGGCATGGAGATAGAAGTTTGACCCCGGGAGGAGAATTACAAAACGTTTTGGAGGACCAGCCATTGAGGCTGACTGTGATGGGTAGGAAGGAGTGGTTTGAATGGAAGCCCCAACTGGGTGAAAGTGGGAAGAGGGAGAAGGAGCTGGAAGAGAGACTGCTAAGTTGCTAGTGGAGTGAGCTGAAGGAAAAAGGGACGTAGATGAGCAAGGAGCTGCAGAAGGTGTCAACAGGACACCAAAGGATAAATACATTTTTGCCTCACCGTGCCCTTCCCATCCTGTTTTTCCCTCGTCTAAAAAAACCTATCTCGGCACCATCCTCTGTTTTCTAACTTTGAACAAAGCTAGCCCTAGCGTGGTGGGTGCGTGCAGCTCCTAAGTATCAATTCCAGCTCACTTCCTCAAGTTCTTAAGGGAAAAAAAACAAAACAAAACAAAACAGAACAAAACAAAACAAAACAAAACAAGAAGCGTGAGCTGCGCTTGGGGCATCTTTGGAGCCGGTCAGCGCGCTCAGACGGTGCTGGGGGACGGAGGCGGCCCGCACCCCTCCCGGGCGGAGACAAAGGGCGGCGGCACCCCCGGCCCCGAAGTGCGGCTCCGTTCCGGAGAGGGGAGGGTGGGGGGGGACGGACAGAAAGTTCGGCATCGACGGGGCGGGAGGTGGGGGCGCTGCCCCGCGCCTTTGTTCAGCGGGGAGAGGACCTGCGGCGGAGCCGAGCCGGCCGCGCAGATGGGCGCGCAGCCGGCAACGCGGTCCCGAGCCCACGGGACGCGGAGGAGGATGAGGAGGGAGGCGGAAGGTCCCCTCGCAGACTCCCTCGCTCTCTCCCTCCCTCCAAGGTGAGTCGCCGCTCCGCTCCGCTCTTCTTTTGTCTCGCTGCGAGCGCGCCCCGCCCCGCCAAACTTTCGCCGGGGATCTCGGCGCCCCGACGGCCGTCGCACGCCGGGCCGGGACCGGGCAAGGCAGCGCCGGGGGCGGCCGCGGGTTGCTGGCATTGCCCGGTGTGGGGGGTGGACTAGGTACTCGTGAAGGCGGCCGGGGGCAGGTGAGGGGGTGCGGGTCTTTATCCTCCGGTTTCTTCGGGACGGATGCTGTCGGCCCCTGCTTCGCGCTTTACGCAACAGGTAGGGATGCCGGAGGGCGGCGGCGGCACGGGGTTTTGGGGGGTTCCTTCGTTCCTTTCTCGGGAAATGTACGAAGGGGAGGGGGGAGGAGAAGCAACAGTCTTCCCAAATTCCCCTTCAGTTGTTTATTTATGTACTTCCCGTGTCCATGTAAAAAGGGTTCGTTTCGCAACTCCGGAGGTTTTCTTTCTTTTCTCTCTCTGTCTCTCTCTCTCTCTCTCTCTTTTTTTTTTTTTTTTCCTTTTTTTTTTTTTTTTTTTCCTCTCTCAAACTTATTTTCCTTTACGTCCCGCGTTCGCCCGTCTCATTCCGCGCGCTTCGACTAACCGATACCCGGAGGCTGTCCTCACTGACAGTCGGGGGAATCCAAACAAAGAGGTGCATCTACCGGAAATAATGATTTGAGAGATGTTGCTCTCCCTTTCCACCCCTCAAACAGCCTTGATTTTTTGTTTCTTTTTTTTTTTTTTTTTTTTTTTTTTTTTTCTTCTTCTGGGAGGTTCAGGACGAGGGAAGTTTTGCGCCAGAGCCGAGGAGGGATGGAGGAGGTGGAAAGTTGGGGGGGCGATGAGGGGAGAGGGCACGGCGGGACCCGGCGGGGGAGGGGGTGGGGTGGGGAGCGGGGACCTGCCGCCGCCGGCGGCTCTTTGTCTGCTCGGGCAACTTGAACAAAAGGAGAAACTCGGGTGAACTCCGCATCTCTCCCGGATTAGCTCATCTTCGGCAACTTTATCCGGATAGATCGAAGCAACTTTCTCCCATCTCTCCCGACGCTCTTCAAAGCGTTCAGCCCCTCTGTAAGCTCGTGAGGAAACTGGGGTTCGCGGTGTAAAGAAAGCAGAAGGTACGACTTGTCTTCGGGCTTATTGTTCTCTGCGCTCTCCCTCGCCCCCCTCAACCCCCCCCCTTCGCCGGCCGCGCTGCGGAGTGCGCGATGGGGACGATTGCGGCCGGGGGCAGCGCTTTTGTAATGCGCGGAGCACATGCAGGTATGGGCTGGGGGAGAGCCTCGTCCTTCTGCCCCTACACCCGGGATGGGAAGAGAGATGTCTCGCCCCCTCTGAGCGCCGTGCCCGCTCGGTGATTTGTTTCAGGGGTTTCATTGATTTCTTTTCGCGGGGAGGGGAGCGGGCTCTGAGTGCTCCGTGCTCCGGAACGTACTTTTGAAGAGGTGGAACAGAACAAAGCTGAACACGGGGAAAACCTTCTTGGACGTGTAGAGGGTGCCGGGGCCGGGCCGAGGGCGGTGGGGTCCCGCAGGGTGCCGAGAATCTTTTGCTGCGCGTTCTGCTCCGCAGCGCCCGGCAAGGTGCGAGGGGACCGCTTAGTGGGGAGGGACCGGAGGGAGGATGGAGGAGGGGGACGGAGAGAAGGGTCGGTCCGGCCCGTCCTCGATTGTCATCCCCTACGGAGAGCCGTTTCGTCCCTCTGACAAAGTTGGGTCGCCTTGGGTTTCGTTCTGCTCCTTCTGGTATTTGCACTTTCTGTACGAAGAGTCACAACTTCTGCAAGCTTGTGCTCTTTGTATTTTTTTCTTAATTCTCTTCTTTTTCTGCATATTTTTCTGTAGTTAATTTAGTACCTTCTTATTTCCCCTTCCATTTTTCTGTATTAACAACCACCACTTTTCCTCATTCTTCATCCCAGTCCTCTCCCTTCCTCTGTTGTTTTGGTTTACTTTGTTTTTGTTTTACTTCTTTCCCATTTTTCCTCTCCCTTCTCACAACCCTCCAGAATTTCTGACCTCTCTGTTTTTGCACCCTCTCTCTGTTGTCACACATTGTCCTCCTGGTCTTTTCTACCTACTCTTCTAGGTCTATGCTTATATTTGCGTTTCCCATGAAGATCTTCTGCCTCAATCTTTCACTTCACATGTCCCACTCTGCAGCCATGGATACGCTACGGTTTTCTCTGGTGCCAAGCAAATAACGAAGTTTATTCTCCTCTTCTCCTCCAAAACTATTCCTCCGTAATACGCCCCAAGTGCACCTTACTCAGTTACACAGAACTTCTAACAGAAGTTCTTGTGCATCCACACATATTCACCTTCTGCATATCTGTTTTCTTTTTTTCTGTGCACATGCCCCCTTCTTCTCATTCTTCTCCCTTGTTCTTGCTGTGGAAGCTCGTTCTCTCCCCTCTCTCCCACTCCTCTTGGCAGACCCAGTGTTGTTTTTTGCGTTGTTATTCCATCTTGCACACAGAACTCCAACTTTTCTCTCTGTTCCTTGCCAACCTAAGCACAAATGTGCTGTTGGTACCCCGGGAGGAATGACACAGCAGGAGTACCAGCATATTCAGGCATTGCTTTGGTTACTTTGTCTTGTTCCTTGCTGGGTTGAGTGTCAGCAGTGGTGCTTGTGCTCCTGGAGCCAAGCGATGCTGGTGCTGCTTCCTGCTGGGTGGGATGCAGAGTTGGGGCTGGAGTGGGAGGAAAGATCATTGTAGACAGCATTATTAGCTCTCCCCTCCACCATCCCGATGCATTTCCTTTCAGTACCTTTTGGTAAGCTTCATTGCTACTACTTGCAGCAAAAATATTAAAGCCTTTTTCTTAAAGCCTTGGAAGTAGAAAACCAACAGAACCCATCCCAAATTGTCCGTTACGCTCCGGTCTGGTGATGTTTGTCAACTCAGATGCTATCACTAAGCTTTGAATGTCTAGATCATTGAAGAAATACACGTTTGAAATTATTCAGAATGTAACATTGCATTTTTGTCAGTCCCCAAGTGGTGTGGCAGTCGCTGTGCCAAACTAACACTTTCTTACTCAAACAGGTCAAAAACATGGCTGTCTGGAGAATGGGATGCTTGCCAGAACATCAATCTGTGCTGGGTGCCATACTGGTTATCCTTCCAGTGGTGGAATACAACTTGGGTCTCCTCAGGAGGTGACTGGTGTGGAACAAACTGTACCAGACATCGATGGTGTGAAGACCTGATGTCTTCGTTGTTTGGATACGTGTGTAAGTTAACGAGCTACTGGGAGAAGACGAAGAAGCTTTTGCAGAAACATGAGGATATTGTGGGAAATGCTGCTGCTGACCATTTGGATTATATTGCTGCCTGACACACAGGTTCTGCAGATAACATAAGGTATGCTTCTCCCTGACCGTTGCAAAAACACTGTCTCATATGTCAAAATACTAAGCACATCATATAAATTCTAAATAAACTTGCTTTTTAACCTGTCTTTTTTTCTGTCTTTGCCTTGGTGTTGATGTCTACTAATAGTTTTGAGCGGTGTAATCACACAGAAATGCCTTACTAGTGGTTTGTCAATGTGTGTATCTGTAATATCCAAGGAATGACTAGACATGGAAATATTTGTGCTTTTAGAGTTAGCTGATATGTTTAAGGTAATCACTTGGTTGGGTCTAAGGAGCAATTAGCATCTCTAGGGAAAATTGGACTAATTGACTTTCCTTTAAAAAACGTTACAAACAGTTTAAACAAAGCATTTTCCACAGCTGCGATCTTCCAAACAGCCAACTTTGTTTTAGGGGGTGTTACTATTTTGAGTTGAAGTCAAGACTGCAACGTTCTATTATTTAACCTCTCTTCTTTCAAATAGCGACAAAACGCTTTATGGACAGTTTGTGTAAGAGATCAAATCGAAGTCTTCAGCTTAAAATTTCAAGGAATGCTTTTGTTTCATGTGTTTTTAAAGCATGGTTTAAATGCTTTTCGCAGACTACGTTTGCATCGTGAAAGTGCTGGTGCTGTGAGGGCCTCTTGGATGCAGACATGATTATATGAGATAACCAACGTACAAAATACAAATGAAAACTAGTGGAGACAACAAGCTGTCAGAGAGTTGTTCACAAATAGCACGTTATTTAAGAACCTAGATATGAAATGTTAATCCAGTGATGAGGAAATTATTGCTCCTCTTGGTGTGCTGTTGAAATCACGAAGCGAATTTTAGAACAATTTAAAACCTGATCAGTTTGCACCTGTTCTGTGTACTTCTCAGTTACAGCTGAAAATGAATGATATGGAAATTGTCGCTGTATATTTCTGCCCATCGGATTGGTTCAGCTCTAGCCCATATGTAGGGCAGACAAATATTTGTGATCTTAAGAAAAGTGCTGAGCTGGCTGGCCTACTTTGGAGCAAAATAGGAATCTGAACAAATAATCACTTGTTATCCTTTCCAGTTGTAAACAGAGATACAAAAGGCAGTAAATGCACTGCTAATTTCCTGGTTCTGACTTGTTGAATAAAGACCTAATCTTAATTTTCTTGATTGTTGAGGACAAGATTTCTGTCACCTACTAAATGCAATTTACATACGTTTAGATTTTTATTCCTAATATTGTTCTGCATCAGTACTACTTTTGAACTTTGTATGACTTAAGTTAGCGGTATGAGAGTCTTTAATTTGAAGTCTCAGGAAAGGAATGTCCCACTCTTTTTGTGGAGGGGGGAAGAGAAGAATAATAAGTGGATTGTAGCAGATAAGAGTATTTGGAGCTGCTATCTGGCATCTTATTACATTTTTCTATTTAAAGGAAATCAAAACTTCAATCTCTTTTATTTTTTTTCTTTTTTCTTTCTGTGCAGATTCTCTTCTTACTCAGTTTCTTTGGCATTTTTGTGTCTTTCTGCAAGCTAATCTGTATGGTGGTTCTTCATAACAGAGAAGGTGAAAGCCATTCATTTTCATCAACACTGAAAACTGAATTTTTATATAGAGTAAATAGGGGCAACTTTTTATCTTGTCTTGAGAGTTGAAATAGGTTGAATGCTGTAGGATTCAGGATACAATGTGCAAATAATTAGATACATTAGTGTTTGTTTATACCCGGAATATTTCTGACAATGATTACTGAAGTGACAGAACAGTTGAGCTATAAAGAGGAAGAACAAAGTTTATCTTCAAATTACGTTGAACTACTTCCAATAAAACAAAGAGAAGTATTCTTATACTCTGAGATATCAGAGGACAGAGGGAAGGGAAGGTCAGCTAGGAAGCACCTCCATGATAGCTCCCAACAGGGTAGGTATGCTGTGTTGGTGCAAGGCAAGGCCCTTAAAATACATTGGTCACTCTAAAAGAATGCTGAAATGCACCACCCATCACCTCGCTGTGATTGCATCCACTGTTTGGTCTCTATCAACGTTCAGCAAACATCAGTGAATGTCAGTTGGTGCCATTTTTTCCACGCGGAGGAATTCAGTGACGCATTTTTCCTTCATACGCACTTCCACGTCAGACGCCATTTCGTCAGACGGCTCCGCTGCTGCTGTCTGTTGGATGGCAACAAACTGTAACAAGATATTGGCAGCAAGGCTCAACATCTGCTGCCACACTACCAACATTCACCTCTGCCATTGTGGATCGACATGATGAAACAGGAGGCATTACTTTTGGAGCAGCCTTTGTACTTTTGGTGACTCCAGGCAAGACACAGCAGAAAGGACCCTGACCCTTTCTCCTGGATTGGTCCCAGCAAAAAGGTTGCGACAGCACTGGGTTTGCCTTGGTGAGGCACGGAGGATTGGCGGGATGGGGAAGGAGCATTGCCCTAGGAGGGGTGATGGGGACAACCTGCCCTAAAATGTGTAGGAATCAACCTCCTGAGGAAACTGGCTGTGAAGAGCTGATGCTTGAGAGAAGGTCTTCAGGTTTTCAGTGTAGCACTAGCTCTCTGAAGCCCTCTTCACACCCTGGTTTGTTCTGGTGGTTTGAGGTTGCAGTTGGTCCACTGCTTACTTTGCTTGTGGCTGTCCAAGAAGGAAGTCTTTGCAGGCATTCTGGGCTTGAGGCTGAGCTCTGAACTCCTACTTACAATCCTCCCCTGAGGTAGTCACTGTTCTAGCAGAACTTTCACTTACTAAAGCGAACCAAACTCAGACTTGCAGAGATATGGTTCCTCCTTTTGGCTATGCTCTCAGTTTAGGAAGTCAGTGTACTTTGTTGTGTGTGAAAATGTGTTGCTCCACATGAGGCATGGATCGTAGGGATGTCTGAGGCCAGTTGAGGATCCACTGAGAAGAGATTTAACACGTTGCAAGAAATGTTTCTGCAGTGTGTTTTGGGTGGGTGAGCTGCAGTGCTGGAGCTGTGAGGAGTGAGCGGAGGAGAAAAGAGTGAACTCAGTAATGTCTGTATTTTTAGGTAGCTGATGGAGGAGATGTGTAGAATATCTTCTTCAAGAAGAATCTGTAGGAAAATAGAAAGGAAAGTGCTGTAGGAACTTTTCCCCAAGTTTTGATTGTTTCCTTTCAGCTGAAGTAGGAGCTCCACAGCTCCCAGGTGAGCTAAAACTTCCCAGAAGCAGTAGACCCACATGTGTTCCACTGGTTTCTGTGATGAAATAGAAACAAGGATGGTTTCCTGAGAGCCTCTGCCTTTCTCATCTCCACAGGAAAGGCCAGGTCTTGGCAGTGCAGAGTGTTGGAATTTCCTTTTCCAGCAGCTCTGCCAGAGAGTCCTCCTTGGCATGTGGAGTGCAGTTTGGGAAGCAGATCTCAGAAATTTGGTTGTTTCTCCCTGAAAGGAGGAACGATCTGAGGAGTAGCGTGTGACTGGGAGGAGATGGACTGTGGGAAGCACTGACTTCAAGGTGAAGGCAAGTTGGGATCTAAGGGGATGTGGCCTCTCCACGCATAGATGTTGCGAACAGCCTCACAGTTCCCAGGGATGCAGCTGAGTTAGTAGCGTTGGCTTCAAAGATAATGGGATAATGAGATAGTGGGTTGTTTGTTTGTTTGTTTTTTTGTCTGTTATTTTTCTTTGTTTAGCCCAGTGCTGATGGAATCTCATGAGCTGTATCAGTGAGCTTGGTATTTTCTCTTTTCTCTGCTTTCACTTGATTTTCACTTTATGGAATAACTTGAGGTACAACAAAACCAAAATCAGTATTGGTGTAGATTTGTTTTTCCTTTGTGCGAGCAAATTCCAGAAGAGAGGAAGGACTGTGGGCCAAGACGAGACGGGGAGTTGCTGCTTGAAATCTGTTACAGTTATGGTTCAGAAATGCAGCGTGCAAACTTGAGCAGAAAGCTTCCACACCTTCTGAGGTCCTTTATGTGAAGTGCTATTACCTGTGTCAGAACAGAGGCATATGTTTCCTGGAATACACTTTCTTTTCTCTCCATTCTGTTTATGTAGCAGGAAGTTTTCTGACTCACTAGCAGATTCTATTTTGTTCCTTTTTTTTTTGCTTGCTTGCTTGCATTGCATTGTCATAACATGGAAGTTGTCACAAACTATTTATGAAGTCTGGGGTAGTGTGCTATTGTGCTTGATACCTTGACCTTTTTGTGATTAAAATGCATAGACGTGGCTGGGTTAGGTAGGGAGAGATGGGTAAGGTGGGGGAACTAGGAATATTTTAACACAAAATGAAATGTGATCTCTGTGAGAGGACAGGGATGGTACACCCCCTGAAAGGTTATAAGGCAGCTACAAGTGCAGAGTCTGTATTCATATATACAAATATCTTACATCAGTGAGAAGATACTGTGTTTGATTCCGTAAGAGAAGAAAGATGAAGAAAATGCTCACACCTAATCTAAATGTGTTTGCTGCTGCTAAAAATAGCAAAATGATTAAATTTTCTATATAGTTTATTAATTCTTAAATACTAAAATAAGCTGTTCTTCCCTTTAGGTACAATATTGCCACGCTGTGAACTATATCACATTTTGATATATTTAAGTGTTCCAGTATATATATATTTTCCCTTACACATTGATTCTAAAGCATTTTGCCCATGAAAAATGCTGCATTAAGTCCTGCACATGAACATGAACGTAGTGTTGTTTGGATTTGTCTTCTCTTGCTTCTTCAGTGAAGTAGAATCACCCATTTTTGTGGGAATCCTTACAGGCAAGGCAGGTGGATGGGGTGGTGGTGTAGTGGTGAAGGCACGCAGTAGTGATAAAAAGTACTAAGTGGACATTATGAATTCTGGGTGGATAAAGATGCAGTTTGATTCAATTATGAGCCAGCAATGTCAAGTGAGGAAAGGAAGTGGTGAAGAATCTTGAATGCAAGGGCTGGTAGCTGGTGATTGATGTGGTAGAGAGGAGGGAGGTGGATATTGTGGAAATGGATTAGAAGCTACTGTCATAATTTATGTGCC